GGGTTAGGAGCCAAGGGGCGCAAGAAGGTACGTCGCAGAGGTTCACGAGAAATAAGATGTCTCGAAAACGACAAAAAATACTTTGTGTCGTTGGTGGTTTCGTTTGGGGGACACTTCAACCTATTTTTTAAGCCATAGTACGCTGTTTTCTACCAAGCAACTCATTTTTTAAACTTTGATTGAAATGTTCAACTTTTAATAACTTTTTCGTACTTTTTCGAAAGAAAATATTTCAAGAACCTTTTTTGTTTCTTTTTTGTCCTCTTTTCAACTATCACTTCGGTTTCTGTCTACTTTTTGAAGGGAAGTCGCAAAATCTGATAATTTCGGGAAAGGTTGCAAAAACGGCCCTCCACCTGTACGGCAAACGGTGCGATATATCGAAAAAAGACCTGCGGCATGGGTTTCACAACAATTAGACCTATAACTGAAGGTGGTGAAAAAAAATTTCCTTGGGTGTGGGGTCTGTCCTTTGTTGAGTTCCAAAATAGCTGCCCAGTACTAGTCTGTGGGGACTATTAATGATCCCCGAAGCAATCGGCAGAGCTCCTTCTACGTCATCGTGAGCAAGGAGGCCCACCCTGCCGCCAAACGAAGTTGCCAGCTTCGCTTTGCTCCGCCGGCAACTCGGCCCGACCATTTCTGTCACGCGATTTGCTGAAGAACATGTTCGAATGATGTAGCGGGCCTTTAGTCCGCTTAAACCCGTTGTCTTTGAGTTTGCCCCAAAGACTCGAGAAAGGGATGTAACGGGGAAGCACCCCGACTACAACCCACCCTTCTGCTTAGAAAACGTTTTTTTCGGGTGGGGGCGAGTTTCCTTTCTGTTTTGAAGTTTTTATGCCTTTTTCTACATCTTATTGTTCACTATGGCAATTTTTAGCTTATTTTTGTCAAAAAAAGACCCTCTAGCGCCCAAACGGTTAGAGATATAGCAAAACGTACGAAATTTTCGCCCTGAGGGCTCTACTTTGACGAGTTACCCCTTAGAAGCACTTAAAAAACAATACTTTTTAGGAGATTTTTTGAACCTTGCATACCCCGGTGGGGGGTCCCCCATTCACTCCCTTAAGGGTGGTTGCCAGGATTTGCCGTAGGCGTTTCGTTTTCACATCTTCTTCTAGTGGAACAGACAGACAGACACACACGTCGTTTGCATAAGCCCGCTGTATAGCTTTTTCAAAGCAGAAGGGCTGGCTAAAAACTGTCTTCAAATTCGAAAGTTGGCTTCTACGCTTTTGCAGTGTGAATACCGTGTCGCCTCCACACAAGCACGATTGCGTCATATCAAATCCCCCTTTCGATGAAAAGGAAGGTTTTGATCGGGGCGGTTCACAAGAGCTAGGATGCACAAAAGTTCACAAGAGCTATAGGCAAATCGGCCGTTACCGTTGGCCGACTATACTCAGCGGATCGCGTGGGAGCAAGAGCAAGTGCGTAGATCGAGGGTCTGTGTATAGTTAAACCGTGCGCATGCATGCATGGGTTGGTTGCGGCTCACTATTTTAGCTGAAATTTTGTGTTTCGATGGCGGAAAATAAATGAGTGTCAAATTTTAACATATTTAGGATTCCACATTAGGATAACATGGGTTAATAAGAGTTGGCAGACACGCAAGCACACCCACTTTATCCTCTTGTTGAATCCTAAAAATGTAAAAATTCGACACTCATATGTTTGTGCCATCAAAACACCCAATTTCAGCAAAGATAGTACGCCTCAAGCAACCCATGCATGCGCATGGTTTAACTACACAGACCCCGCGACCACGCCAAACGTCACTGTTAAAAAAACACACGGTTAAGGCCTACTGTCTCCGCTGCATATTTGTTGCCTGCACACTAAATGGCGAGGGACAATTCTGTGGCATTCCATAGGAGTGACGTAAGTCTGACTTACGTCACTATTTGAGTTAAGCATTGTACATCATTCTACAACTCACACCGGACATGTACATGTTTTCAGATTGAAAATCGGGACCATAGAAACTCCACAACTTAGTAGAACATTCTGACGTAAGTCAATAAAAGGCAGATGCTGATCAGTAAAAGTGACGCAAGTCAGACTTGCGTCACTTTAATAGAACAGTTCTTTGCAACATGTGACGTAAGTCAATAAAATAGAACCAAATGTATTGTTTGGTATCAAAACAGTTTTGCTATTGGTAGACAATGTTATGGGTCACTCATTACAGTGAGAAATTTGGTTGGTTCTGAAAAATCTGATTATACAGGGCAAAGAAATGTTTCATTTCAGTAAGAAGTGACGCAAGTCATGACTTACGGCACAAAAGAGGGATTCCAGCTCTAAATCAGATTCAGCTTGCAATGACTTTAGAATGTCAATGTGAGCTCTTGTACACAAGCTCATGTTGATCCCAGGTGACCAGTCAGGGTTATGGAGGACTGTTGGTATCCAATGAACACTTTCCCCACAACCACTGCCTAAAAAACTTGACACTCCCACTTTGAAGACCATGGCGCCTGGCTTGGATAGGGGTCTTGTTTGTTCTAGTTGCCACTGATATTCACTACATACACATCACACATCATTTATTTCTTGAAACGGAAGGCTGTCACTCATCCCCGAAAACCGAAGGAAAGGTGATTCGTCTGCTAGCAGCTATCAGCCACCAGCCTTCTAGCGAAACTCGTAAATACCCCACGCCAAAACTCACACATGCGCACCTAGCGGCTCAGAAAAGCAACACTCTGTCAGCAGAAGACATCAACCTTAACATCTGACAATGTCTAAAATTACTGATTTACAAACACTGGCTAATTTTGCCCAATGTAGGGCTGCATTGTGTCTATATATTTTCTAATGTTTTATTCCTCAAGCAAGTGACAAGAAATGTAAGATTTTGTGGACTAGTTAACTTGTTTTGCACAGTTTCACAGCAGTAAACACTGTTAGAACTTTGTGGTTATTGATTCCTTTGTTT